CATTAAAACTACTTTTCCCCTTCTCCATCTTTACTTTTCTGTGCGTTGTTTTTCTGTGGCAGTCTTTTTCTCTTCATTGGCGTTGCTTCTGTAAAGGACTTTGCATAATGTTTTCCTTCAAATTGTTCCATTTCAAAGTTTCCCCTTCATTTCAAACTTCCTAGTTGCTATGTGACTCTGCTGTGTGGTTTCTAGGTCTTCTTTTGCTTTACAGTGTCCTTTTTCTCTTAGGCACTTTCCCTTGAACAGCTCTATGGTGGTGATAGCATGAAAAATCGCAGTATCCCTCTGTCGCTATAGAGAAGTCTAAAATATCAGTGAGAGAAAGAGAGACAAAGCAAGCATTTTTTAATATAAAATAAGGGATATTTACTTCTAGGATATTTATTTTCACGAATTCAATAATAGCACAAAGAGAAACTTTGCCATTTTATAAAAACTACATGCTTATTTTTCTTCATACGTTCAGTCATACCATAGGCTTTCCACAAAAAGAACAAGTATTTATTTTCGTACTGTGTGCCCAGAACAGCTACCGCATGACCGTTGTCCTGCCAGGATTTGGTGCTGAGAAGATGCAGCCTGATGTTTAGAGGCAGACTGCTCCTAGTTTTACTGGGAGGCATTGTGTGTGGCAGGGGCTGCAGGTCTCTGAATCAGGATGGGTTACATTTTGACTCACTGTCAAAGGGTGGTATAGCGTTATATATATTCTGTTATAAGAGAGTATATGTCCTGAAGTCCTCTCAAACAGATCCTTGATCCTTGATTCCTGGAACAGTTTTCACGTGCGTGGCACTGGGTCTGTTCTGAAGCCCACCGAGACCAATGAGTGCCTGGTACTCAGTCAGGCTGTAACCAGATTTAAAAAGCGACCTACATCTTTTGCTCCATATATCAGGCTCTCTGCGTAACCATCCATAGGTGGTCTAAATTTACCACTGCAGTGTGAAAACCTGAATCCACAAGCAGTGGTGGATCTAGCTATTTAAACCGCTTTTTGTCCTGATTTCAGAACTGTGAGTCTTGAACTTACCAGTTTTGTCAGCAAAGCTCAGCTAGTGAATATTTTCTTTGGTGACCGTTTTTGTTTCTGGTTCATGGCTATACCAGCAGGAGCTACAGTGGGGACCAGCAACAGAATGTTTTAGCGGATATTCCTTATTTCACTTACTGACTTGGGTTTGCTAGCCTGGCAGAAGTGGTTTTTGCTTTCCAGTATAACTGTGTTTAGACTCAGAGGCCTTTTCCACCTTGGAAGTTTTGCCAGTGGACTTCAGCCTTTTTTCAATTTCGGGTGCAGGCAGATGCAGAGGGCCTTTCAACAGCTGTGTCTTGCCCTGCTGCTGTTTCTTTGCAGAGGCAAGATAGTGCCAGTCAGCCAACACCACTGAAGGGTCACTAGGAAAACCTTGGATCTCAGCTCTGTCACCCAAAGCAAGCTGGCAGGTGTGTATCTGCTTAATATCTCAGGCAAGGTGGAAACTCCTTTTGAAGATGGTATCAGACCTTTTGTCATTTTTTTTCCTTTCCTTATGAATACTTTTACTTCTTATGTAAAGTATCACAGAATCATCATTGAAATTAGTGGCGTGATACTGCTTTGGAGCAGTTGCTGTTCATGCAGAAGGGGAGAGTGGGCTTTGGGTGTGAGGCTGGAGTGTCCGATAGGCACTGGCACATGAAGAGTGCAACCCATCGCTCAGGGCAGATGATCAAATGGCATCTGGCTGACCACTTCTGGAACAAAAGGAATGCCTTTGCCTTTGGAGACAGCTGAGACAAACTCTATTTAAACTGTGTTTAAAATAGGCTTTATTAATACAGAACTTCTAATTTAGCACTGGTAAGGTATCGTGTGCTGTGTGTTACCCACTTCTGTCAGCCTTTAGGATGGAGGTTGGGTTTTCCTTGGGGTGCAGCTGGTTAGAAGTGCGAGAAACTGTTGCGGTTTCTGAGATGTGAGCAGATCAGCCAGGCAGAGTGTACCTGGGATGCAGAAGCTGGGCAGCAGTGGACCATGTACAAAGCAGAAATGCAATGCAGGACCTGAGGCCAGTGGTCAGCGGCGGCTGGTTCTGCTTATTCCACCTGGGAGAGGGATTATTCCAGCATAACAGAGTTCCCTGCAACTGTGATGCGGTGCCCCCACTGAAGGGCACAGCAAATCATCCCCTAAATGGATGTAGCAAAAGTAGTAGCGATTCACAGTTGTTTATAATAGGGGTACCGTGCATTATGCCTGATTTTTTAATTGTGATATCACAAGAAAAGTTTCTTCAATTAAGAGAGTAATGTGTTAAAGGGTCTCCTGAATCAAACTGTTCTCTCATACATCAGTTTCTCTCAAGGTAGTGATAATGTTCCCAGAGAGAGCAGGTTGGAAAAACTGGAGGTCTCTTAGTCACATCTTCCAAGAGCATCAGACTTTGTTTTTGTTAGATGCAAACTGTGGGGGATGTGGAGGGGGTGGGGAGGTGTTTCTCAGTTACTCATGGTGGTTAATACCAAAGCACTTGATCACATCAGTGTTTCAAGCTACTGGTTTTACAGCCAGGTGCTTGCTGCCATGAGTTAGGGTTTTGTAAATTAGGCCTTTATATATTCTGCAAAATATTAACAGGTTTACTCTCCCTGCTGTCGCGTCCCAAAGTTGGAGTGACTCAGGTTCGTGGATTTCCTTTGTCAGAATTAAGGTGAAACGACACCAAGGGAGTTCAAACAACAATCAACATTTATTCAACCTAGCTAACATTGCCCAAGTACAAGTGAACTTATCGATATGAACCTTGCAACATGTCATTAGGCCGCTGTTTGAAAAGAGAAGAGAGTTGTAGAAAAAGAAATGGAAAAAGGAATATGGAACTATATCAGAAGGAGAGCCCTCCCATTGAGTCACGAGGTTCAGAGCAGACCCCCTTGCTTTCTGGACTCCTTCTCAAAGAGGAGCCCAGGGGCGGCTACATCCACTCCTAGTCTCAGACTTGGTCAACGGTTTATGTTTAACAGGATGAGGTGTAGGGACTGTGGAAAAGAGAGAAGGAAAAGAGGGAGAGAGAGAAAGAGACAAAGAAAGAGAGAAGAAAAGCGTTTCACCAGTCCTGGGTCCAGCGTTGGTCCAGCCAGCCTAGAGATCCAGTTCCGGAGGGTGCGCACTGAGAACTCATTCTCCCTTCTTTTATAGTGTGTTAGTTGATGGTCTTGACATGTGCAGTTCCCATTCCCGGGGTTCTCTGGAATCGGTCGGTGAGCTTTGGGTGGGAGAGTTTCATTGTGGAGCTGCCTCTCTTCCTGCTGGCATGAATGTTTAAGATAGAAGCACAGTCCCATCTTCTGTGGGGCCTTCTCCTCCAAGCACATATGCTGTGCTCCTTCTCGTGGTCACTTAAGATAAGGAATTGCGGCTTTAGAGAAGTGCGGTCCCACCCTCCGTGGGGCCCTCTCCTCCAGCCACATTGTCCTGTTCACAAAACTCCAGCATTTTTACAGAGGCCGTTTTCTCCACCAAAGTTCTTTAACAAATGTTTGAGACATTGACTATAAGTTGTCAGAACATCACACCTGCACACTCTTCATTCATTGCTACATAACAGCAGAGAGCAGTTTAGTTCCCTGGCAGTGTATTTTAGTAAGACAGCAAATTGTTTGTGTTTACTTATGCTATACAATTCAGTAATTGTACTGCAGTCTTGGCCAAGTTCCTGAGAAGTTGGGGCCTGAAAACAAGCTCTTAAATGCATATTTAGGTTCTAAATAGAAGGTCTGATTTTTCAAATATTGAGTCCATCCTGACTTGCTGACTTTTTGGAAACCAACAGGCTTATCAGCATTTTGAAAATCAGGCCTGGTATGTGTTCCTATGCTTGTATGGGGAAGCTAAACTATGGTTTAGACTCCTTTTAATATTTGTTTTTGTAGTATTGCACTGCCTGTTTTATTCTCTACATTGCAATAATTCCTAGTGTAGCTTATTCATGTTCACAGACTATCAGTTTGGATTGATTAAAATGTCCAGTTAAAAAGTTGCCAGCAAGGTTGCTATTTGAAATCTTTGCTGGAGGATGTGTTGCACAGAGTAAGAATATTTCTGGCAAGTCACTGGGTTTTTTTCGTAAAAGGATAGGCTATAAATACCATCTTTCATATAACATATGCTGCACTGCCTGTGCCTGACAACAAACCTGAGTGAACTAGGGTTTATCAGAAAGGCTGATTTTGCCCTCAGTATTATTGGGAGCTCTTCAGTGCCTCTTGGTGGGGTTTTTCTCCTGTGTGTCAGTGCAATAAGGCTTCTTTCCCTTTCTTTGTATAATTTCAAGGAAAGTCTGATTCATTACTTCAGGAGCTGAGCTAAATTCTTTCCTCTGGACTATTTTAAAAGAAGTTGTTTAAGCCTCAAATACTTGTGCTGGCTGTGGCAGCACATGTGTGAAAGAGTGGGCATTCACTTTGCTTCTTGCTGCTCATCCTCAAGAAGAGGAGGCTCTCCTTAACCTGTGTGCTCAAGCACAGCAGGACTTTCTGACCTAAGATAAAACAATCGCCAAACCATTCCTGTGGAAGCACAGCATGCAGGCACTTCAGGATTCTTCTGGAATATATTACTGGGGATAACTTACTCTTTCTTTTCAAAAGAAAATCATACTAATGCCTTTAGGAAAAAAAGTCTTGTGTGATGAGGGTAAAGGGAAGAAATTATTCTTGGTAATATTTAAAAGTTGTTAAATTCAGATGGCCCTGGAATGGAAGGATTTAATGCACGGTGTATCAGCAGAGTGATCTGGCACAATGGCAAAGGTGACTTTGAAAGAGTTTCTCATTTTGGTCTTGGAGATCTTTCATTTCTTCTGTTCAGATGCTCTGATGGACCAAAATTTGCAGCATTTTCAGTAATCAATATGCACCTTTTTTCTCAAATGGGGGCCACTCCTGAGAAAATAATTTTGTTTTGTAAACATTATTTGGCTGAGACTGACCGCATGTTTTCATTTTCCTTGCAGAGGCACGGCGATAGCTGGAATTGTTTTCGGTATAGTATTTATAATGGGAGTGATTGCCGGGATTGCCATCTGTATCTGCATGTGCATGAAGAACAACCGTGGGACTCGAGTAGGGGTCATCCGAACTACGCACATCAATACTATCAGCGCGTACCCAGGTAAGGAAGCGAAATGACACCCCTGCAAGAGTGCCTGTGTTTATGGCAGGAGTGCATCTTTGGATAGTTACAGCCCCGCAGTAAATGTGGGATGTGAATACAGCAGCAGGCTCTTCTCAGTCCAGAGGGGAATGGCATGACTCCCTGCTGAGAAACACAAGACAGCTCAGTGTATGCAGTGTTTGTCAGTGCAGCCCTCTGCCTGGGCTAATTTATTCAGGTACTCAGTGGGCTAATGAGATCTGGCCAGGTGCCATACTCACACAGCTGTGTGGCTTGCAGTGCCCGTAGTAGCTTGTTGAGACCTCGCTCAGGGTGGTGTTGCATTATGCAGGATAGACCTTTTCGCTGTGCCAGAGGCTCTCTGGCGACAGATCAATTATTCTTATTTTGTGTTCTGGTTCTTGTATTTGCTCTTACTCACATGCAGTCAGCTCCCTTTCATTGTTCAATATAATGGAGGCCCAGCATACCACAAAGAGGGGAAAACCTGGACAATAAGGTCTGTGGATCATAGCGCAAAGGCTTTGAGTTGTGCCACGTGGAGCCCAATGTAGCCTGAGCTGGCTGGTACTCGGCCAGAGCTCACAAGCGCTGCTGGGTGCTGCAGGATCCCAGATGACTTCTACAAAGGCACACAGGCGTGTTTGTAGAGTGTTCTCTGCTGTGTGTCCCAGGAGGGACTGCAGGCTGGTGTGCAGTGCTGGATCCGAGCTAGCTCCCTGCATCCACCTGGCACCATGCCTGAACTGATAGGAGCTTGGAGCATGGTGCAGAGATGCCTGTTGTGCCTTGGTCAAAGTTAGCTGAGTGTTGGACGTGCTCAATGCAGGCTTGTCTGTGGGTTAACATTGTTTTGGTGTAATGTTTTTTTAGGTGCAGGGCAGCACCAGGGGAGGCACAGAGCCTAAGTCAGATCTGGCACTGAGCTAATAAGCTGTCACAGGCTCTGGGGCACCCCAGGGGATAGTAGGGACCCCGCCATGGCGCTGCTCCAGTGCAGTTGTGCCCATAGTGAGTGGGAACTGGTACATCAGGCTGTACCTGAGCTAGCTCTGTGCAGAGCCACTCCCTGCACCACACTTGTCAACTAGCACCAGTCTAGGATTGGGGTACAGGAACACCGAAGGTGGATCTGCATCAAGCTAGCTGGGGTCTGCAAGGTGTATTTGTCTGGACTCCCCACCACGTCAAAGTGGCCACAGTTTTGAAGAGCAGAGCTGACCCTGGAAGCAGCATAACGGTCTTTGTGCAATGTAGCTGTGTCTGCTTCAGTGATATTGTTAATTACAAATCCAGGAGCGATTGCCTTGGGATAGCTTGAGAGTTCACTGTAATAAAAGGCAATGGTGTTTCATGGATGAAATCCCCTCATCCCACTCTTAGACATCCCCTGCCTTTATATTCCCTCCTGTTGCAAAGGTTGCAGCAAACCCCAGGTGCATTATGTATACTTAGAGGCAAGCTATGCCATATTTATTATGTGTTCCTTTATCACATTCACTGCTCTCAGTGTCTGTTTTCTCCCTCGTGCTCTTAACTTTCTAGTTAAACTAAAACCATGTATAATCATCCTTATCATTACAACATTGTTTTGCATAGAGAGATGAGTAATGAAAGAAAACTGCAATATTCTCAACCATGAATTGCTGAAGAGCTACTTCAGAATCTAATAGTCACTGCAAGCTGTAAAAACAAAAGCAAAATGAAGACTTCGGGGCTGTAGTCTTCTCCTCCCCAGGTCTGCTCCTGCTATGACTCACCACTGTCTCCACCTCCAGGCAGTTTGACTCTGCACGGTCCCGGTTCCTAGTGCAAACATTAGCTTGAGCAGTTCTTCCTCTCAGCAGCAGCAGTTTTTGGAGGATGGGGAAGCTCTGAAATGATTTCTGTGTTCCCCACTGTCATGAACACTTCTGGATTAATGACTGACCTGGCTTTGGCTGCAGGGTTTGTGACCAACCCTACCCCCTGCCATTACTGTTTTGGACAGGAATAGCAAGCGAGGGGTTGCCCTTCCTTTGGCCACAGCAACAGCCAGGTTTTCAGAGAGCAGGGAGTGCTTTTCATGGCACACTGGGATTTGAGTCTCTTCCCTCATCACAACTATCCTAGGTTTCTGTTTCCTCTCTGTTCAAGTGCTATTTCACTGCCAGTCTGCTTGAGACATCTAGGGAGGGGATAGGAAGGCATCCATGGTGACATAAACAGAGACATGAGCAGACTCTGGACCTTAAAATTTGTGGAGACTACTGTAGTGGGGTCTTGATATGGAGCCTTCAGTTCCTACCATGCTGTCATTCTGCAGCATTTACTGTCTTTTTGATCACTGAATTAATCCTTCTTCTCTAAGGTTACTAGAAGTAGTTGAGAAAATGTTTTCAGCTGTTTGTGAATATTTTTGTTGCTTCCTAAATGCCTGACCCAGTTTACAAATGCTGGGCTTTCCTCAGATGTTTCCTTTGGGGTGAACAGGGTGAAAGCTTCCTTCTTCGTCAGCCGGAGCCCTGGGAACGTCCTGGGAAGATGTCCGGCGTTTGCCCTGGGAGGTGTGATGCTGCTATGCTGCTGTGTTTGGCATGGCATGGCAGGTCACATCACATATCTCCTGGGGATCCAGAGGGTGTTTGAGAGATCTGTGGAGATCAGTGAAAGCCCTGGCTACCCTGTCATTTTGAGACAACATAAACTCATTTTGCTGCTGAAGCGGGTGGAGGGGAATGGATCTGATAAAAACCTAACCTTCCTCCCCTGGAAAAGTTTAGCTCTGCCACATCATCCTGGTATCATCTGCCATACTGCCACTCAAACACTGCTACCAGCACAACACATCGGTGAGCACGTGGCTAAGCAGTGAAAGAAAGCGCAATAAGCAAGGACTTGCATTGACATAAAGTGATTGTATAATGACAGTCTGAAAAAGAAGTCAGCGCATTGCCAGGAGACCTTACATCTGTTGTATGGAAGTCTGAATGTGAACTAGAAAATACTTGGGGGCCTGCATCTGAAAAAAAGATTTTTAACTATGTCTTCTTTTTCCTCCCATTTCAGTGGCTCCACCACCATACAGTTACGACTACGAAATGGAGTACCCAGCTGACCTACCTCCACCTTATACTCCAACCCCACAGACTTCAATACAGTATCCCCCACCCCCTCCATACCCTGGATACTCAGGGAAGTAATTACATGGCTTCATACAGATATTAACTGCCTGTTGAAACAGCAGCACCGTTGGGACAAATATTACCAGCTCAGGGACAAATAGGACAGGGTCTGCATCAACTCATATGGCCAGGTGTTGAAATAACCTGGGAGGGTTGCCATGGCTCAGGATGAAGAAAAATACTGTCCACTCCGGACCATCGTGTTTCATGATTAAACAGCCTGTGACCAAAACGAAGAAACAGTTCCTGTACATTAGTGCCTGATGAGTAGTGCTTAGCATCTGTGCTTAGCTTCAGCTGCAGCCCGTTACAGCACGTGGGGGTGGGGGTCTTGCCATGTAAGAATGTGCAAGTGGTGCAAATGGTTCAACAAGCTGTTTCAAAAGCAGAAGAGGCAGCTGCTGGGTCTTATTCTGGGGGAAAACTCCAACTGTTCTCTTCAAGTATGTGTTATGCCTTTCCTTGAAATGAGGGGAATAAGGAAGAACAAGGAACACAAGCTATTTTCAGTTTCTACGTCAGGCTGATAATACCCAATGATCAGCTGTGCATATTGGTCTGATAAGCATATCACAAAGAGAAGTGCTGTCAGAGTTATTCAGTACCAAAAAATGATGGATATTATTTTTGGCCAAGTTCAGGTTGTTTTAAGTGCCTACTTTTAAACAGTTTGCAACTAGTTCGTGGCCTAAAACATAAAGACAAAGAGCATTTTTATATGTGAAATACACTAATTTATAGCTGATTTACTTTTACCTGGACTTAAATACTGTATACATTGGAAATATGCTACAACGCCTTTTTTTATCAGCAAATGATGCTTTGATTTTTTAAAAAAACACTGAATCAGGAAAACTCACAAGTGGGAGAAGAAATACAAAGCAAATATTAAAACATCATAGATTTGTCTTCAATTGGATTGTGTAAAGACTGTTTTTTAAAAAAAATCATATTGTTTACCCGTAATAATGATATTCAGCCTAACCAAAGAGATGAGCGTAGAGACTGAGCTTCAGATTACTTTTGAATGTTGTCTTGGGCATTTTAAAAGTGTAAGTCACCAAAGAATTTTTTTTGCATTTGTCATGCATATTTTTCAAAATTACTTAATCTCTACTATATAAAGTACAGACCTTTATGATTTAAGTGTTCCATATACTTATGGTGCTAACTGTAATTCAGGAGCAGCTATGTGACTTCAGAATAGAGTATCCCATTGCCTAAAGCATCATCCTTCAATGGTAAGACTAGTATTTTTCTCAGTTTTATATGCAAACCACAAAGACAGTAGTTCTCTTCAGGGATTTAAAAGTGCTGAGTGCCCTTAGTTTGAGTTGGGTGGCTGGGCTGTTTGAGAATGCTACAGCCAAAATAGCGGAAGGTGACAAAAATACAGCACCTAGAGTTCAGTACAGCTGTGGCATCAGGTCCATTTCAGTGGGAGAGACTGCAGGTTACCACTGATCCCAGAGATCAGAACGCATTTAAGTGTTTTCCAGTGTAGCCCTCATCTTCTTTTCAGTTGTATCATTGTATTAATGAATGAAAAAGCAGCTTGCAAAAGGTCGTACCATATCCCAGTGAACTCAACTGACAACCTCTCATCACCCCTTAAGTCTGATATTTTTGGCATTCGGTCCTGATTCAGGGAAGAACTCAAGCAATCTTTTAACTTTGAGCACAAAAGTTATTCAGAGGCTTTCTTGTAAACAAGACCTGACTAACTGTTCTTGCTCAGATTTTGTAGTTGTATTTGTCCTTTCCAGGCTGACTAAGCTTATCCTATTGAAACCCCACTTGAAAGCGCAAATGGCCTCAGACCTCACCAACGTTAGTTCAGAAGATCTGTGTTGTGGCCCTTGGCCAAACTGAGCCTCGAGTCACAGGCCCGTAGCTACCTAGGCATTTGTAACCCAGTCAGAGGAAAACTGAGCTGTGTCATAGGTTTTGGTTGCTGCTGGTTCCTTGGAGTCTTCTCCAGGGAAGGAGAGTTATATTCTCACTTCTGTTTTGGTGTTTAGAGGTGGCACGTCCTGAGCTAGGTTATCCTTACAATTATTTCTGCTCTGGGCTATGTCCTGTGACATTTCAGCTGGTACCCTGTTCCCTCAAGAGATGGATGTTCCTCAGCTGAAATCCTCCCGTGAAGAGCAACTTTCTGTATGCAGTGTTTTGGCAGTCTGTACTCAAAACCATCTGCTGAGGTATTGATGCACCTGCCAACATGGTGGCCAGCATGAAGAACAGAATACGCATAGTTTTCTCTGTGGAAAATCCTGTTCCTACCACATCATTCTATGCTAGTACCTCAGCACTTTCCAGTTGATCACACCAGATGATATTTCTGTGCCAAAAAGTTAACTATAGATAAAGAATATTGTCATTTTTCCCATTTTTGTATTTCATTTCTTTGTGCAGATGCACAAATCAAAGAGCAGTTTGTATTTGATGAATCCAGTCTCCTGAAAAATACAGAGAAAGAAAACTATCCTATAGATCATAAATCTTCCCTTAGAGGAAGAATTTCTCCAGCTGTGACATTTGTCAGAACAAGTTATAAAGCAGGTTTCTTAAATAAAAAGGCATTTCTGGAAAATAACTAAAAATCTTTGATCACAGTCCTCTGTTTTTCAGCTTTGTGATGGCATGTTGCCTCTGATGATATTGCATGAAGGTCGTAGTAACTGAAGTACCTACAACGTATACATGACTTATTCCAGGGGAAAATTATGGAAATAGGAAATTGAGAATTTCGTAGTGGAAGAGAGCTGGTTTTTTGCTATGAAAACACTAGTGAGGTGTTGATTTTAGTATGCTAATTGATGTTCTGCAGATCCACATATATTGGGCCATACCAGACAATGATTTTAATCTAAAAGGACACCACATCTCTTGTCCTTGGTAAGGCCATAAAATATAAAGGTGTTGCCCTTTCAGCAAACCAGGTAAAACTAGTACAGAGTGGCCTATTTTCAGCAAGAGGTGATGATTGCATTGAAAATAAGTGAAAGAGTCCACAGAGGAGGAGGGAGTCTGAAAGATTTATAAAAGAATAGAACAGAGAAGTTGCTGCATAAACAAATGGAAGCATTTGCTAATACTAAAGTTAGTTGAGTTTAGTTGAAAAAGTTGAAGTGTTGTTATACCTTAAGTGTTATTTTCTTTGTGTGGAAACATGTAATTTGTTCAACACCTCCATATTCAAAGTTCTGCAGCGCAGGTATTGCCAACCAGTAGTCATTTATTCTGTTTCACATGAGTAGCTTGCAGATGAGTGGGTTAGTACAAAGAGTTTTTACTTAGTCACACTGACTTATTTCAGTCTCATGCCCTACTTCATATTGTAAAGTAAGAAAAAAAATACAGAAATGTAATCTGTGGCTGAGAAAGGGCAAACAATCTTTTGCTTTTTGTGCTTGGCAGTGGACATTGTCACTAATTGTTCAGTGAATGTAGCATTGCCCTGGGCAGTACCTATACTTGGACCAAATGCTACTGATTTTCCTGTGGTCTCAGGTTTCTCTGCCTTTGGTTCACGATTTCCAGGCTGAGCTGGGGAGGCAGAGGGGGAATGTTGCTGTGTCACAAGTACAGGATCTGATCCCATGAGCCTTTCTCCTTGGTTTCCTAGTTTAGTACATTAGATGACTGCCTGGTTGCATGATTGCTGTTACGGATTGGAAGCAGCAGGAGTTGCAGGTGCTTACAAGGGCACATATGCTTGCATATGCTCTGATGCCAGTCCTCTTTTGTGGAAAAAAAAAATTCTGTGTGTGATGTCTTAGTTAATTATGTATCAGGGATATTTCAAGCCATGATTCATTTCACAAACTTAATTTAATCTGGCATTTCTTTAACTATTTTTTCCCAGAAAGAGCTACTTCGAAACCAGTTATCTCTCTGACAGCCTACTGTTTCTAGGGTATATACCAAGCAGCAGGAGAAATCTATTTAAGAGCTAATGACCCATTTGGGAGACTTTACAAATTAGGTAATAATCAGTTGGAGGAGTTAAAAGGCCAAGGCAAAGCCAAGGGAAGTTAATGTGCTAGGCTGCCATTACCTAATTGACACACTCTGATGAAAGGATCGTTAATGCTATTATAAGCCTTTTTTAATTAATGAAAAATCTAATAATTTGCTTTTTTAATATTGGTAACTTTGAAAAATGCACTTTTACCAATGTACTAGACCAGATTTTCAGTAGTGCCACGATGAAAAGATTAGATTGCTCCATAGAGCACCTGGATCGATGTTAACAGTGTTCTTGGTATAGTAGAGATAGAGTCTTTCTATTTAAAGCAAATTTTCTCAAGACCCTTTGTGAAATCAGAATGATATTTTTTGGATATAATGGGATAGTTCACAAAGCACTGATGGCTATCTATTAGAATAGTGAATGTTTGGCATTTCTGTATTCACTTTCATCCTGGAAGCGCTCCAAATGCTTTAGTAACTAGAAAAAATAATTATTTTAGTCACCTTGGAATAAAATGCAAGAGGTATTTAGCAGCACACAGTAATAGTATGTAACACTCTGAGGCAGAAATTGCACAAAAGGATTAAGGCAAATTGAATATATTTCTTCAGCTTCACTAAAACATCAGTGCTTGGACAAAACACCTTGAGAAAATAATGACCAGGACCTTTTATCAAGTGGTCCCTATTATTACTTTCCAATGGGTACACCCAGTCTAGTGGTTATATTGCAGCAATGTCTGAGGTCTGAAAAGCAGAGCCCCAGTCCAAGCCTGGGTTGTAATGCACCCATTGTAAAAACACCCTTCCCGCTGTGTCAAGATTTTGGTGTGCAGCCGAAAAAGATGAACAAACAGGATTAAAGAAAGGAGAGGTGATGGTCCCTCACTTTACAAACGGGAAAGAGAAATAGGGAAAAACAAAAATGGTCAGGACTTTTTGATTTTGCGTGACCTACAGAGGATGGCTCGCTGTTGCTGTTGCTGGTGACTGTCACTGTAGGAAGAGCGAAAGCAATGAGCACAGAGCGTGCTGAAGAG